AAAGTGAGTCAAATATGGTCAGTAGAGGTTTAAGTTTATTTTTGGTCCTGAAATGAGATCTGTCTGACCTAGTTATTTATCCCCATCATAACCTTTTATTGTCAACTTAAAAAAAAAAAAAAACAGAGAAACTGTTGTAGATTGCATAAACAAGCACACTTCATCAGTACATTGTTTTAGAATTGCTTTTACTGAAAAATGTCTTTTTAATAAGTGTGATACTTGAGGATATATGATATAATTTTAAAATCTTTTGTGATTATATTTTAGGCTATTTCAGAACTATTTTGAGTAATTCTGACATAATTTATGGAAGAGTATTATCAATAGTTACATGGCAAATGGATTTTTAAGTGATTGTGTGATATTTAATTGATGGATATTTCTTTAATCATGCTGACATGAATAGACTACTTTAGTATTACTGTAGTATTGGGTCCCAGTCACATTGTCTAGTTCACTAATGGCTCCTCCTGGATTAGACAGTAAAATACTGAGGATGTCACCATTTAGCCTTATTGGTATTAGTTACCCACTCAGGTCGCAGTCACTGCAAACACAAAACACAGAACAAAAAAGAAAAAACACCAAAGTTTTACTCCACAATTAGTCTCCCTCAACATATTTGCTTTGCTTTGGAGGATGTGAAATAAGTAAACCGTGCTTTACACAATCTACACACCAAAACTGCCATACTTTTATTAAATATGTCAGACTTTTTGCTGTCATATTGTGTGGTTCCTCACTAGATATTAATCGTAAGGCATTTTATTTGTCAACTTACTGTTAAAATGTTGTTTAAAGGCACTGTATTCTAACTATAATACCCATTCACTTATCTTTTTTTTCGCCAATTAAATAAAAGCTCCATTTTGTGCAAAAGGTGATTTGATTTATAAAGAAAATATGGTAAGTCAGTATGACAAAGCACCTGCTTTTATTTATCAGTTACCGTTGATATAAAGAGGCTCCTTCCTTAAGATGCTTGATATAAATTGATTGTAGAATGCATTTGGTGGGGCATCAGACTTATTTTTCACATATATTCTGTCTCTTGCTTATGTACATATATTTCTCTTGTGAAGAATGCTGGATGGTAAAGATAAAGTACACATTAATGAAATTAAAAATGATAGCTTTTGTAATCATGAAATTATAACTCTGTCCAATGTTTAAGGATATTTTGTTTTTAAAAAATGTCTTGTATTTGAAGATAATATTGTCAAATTTTAAAAAATGAATATAGTTCATAAGTCAAATGTGAATTTTAAGTGCATTTTGTAAAATGGATGAAGGTGAAGTTTTCCCCCCTCTTAGTAGTCCTTAACATATATTTAGAACATATGTTGTCTTCACCATTGATATTCCATGCTTTTAATTACTTTATTGGTAGTAGTTGTGTATAAAAACAATTTCTGCTTCTTATGATGTCATTAAATGAATTTTAGCCTACTTGTAGACTTTGTGTGGGGGATTTTAAAATACTCAGTTTTGATTTTACACTCTTGTAGTCCTGTGTTTCTTCTTTGCACTCTTTGTGTGCATTCAAAATATTTCCAAATATGGATGGTTAATGTTTTCCTTAAAACTTGTACATGGAAATGGGTTTCGTAATTATGAACTGATCATGCAAAGAATTCAGACAAAACAATGTCTTGTACTCTCTTACATATTCTGTTTGAAGTTGTTCATGAATTTTAATGTACTTTTTCCACATGATGTTTTGTTAAATATATTTGAAGGTCTCCTATCTGGAGTAATTTTGAATTGAAACAGAATTTTGTTGTTATAAAATGTGCTAACTCATATTCAACATGAAAAGAATTGTATGGCCTTCTGTGAACTATTCATTATTATTATTATTATGTGGTATAACTTACAGTTGTGTCATGTAAATTAGTTCAGTCATAGTTAAATATTTTAATTGTTAATTGTACCTACATTTATTACTAAATAAAATTAATTTTAATAAAAAAAAATTAATTTTAATAAAAAAGATGTCATGACTTGAATATGAAAGTGTATTGGTAAATAAGCATGTACATCCATTCAATAAAAAATGAAAAATTTTAAGTGGGAAATTTCTATCAATAACCAAGACTCTGTGACTGGCAATCAAATATGTGCATTTTTCTATAAATCTGAAACATTCTATTTGCACTGAAATCAGAAAGTGCACAAAAAAGGCTCATAAAAACGCTGGAAATGGATCTCGCTTGTAGGGGTTGAATAATAATATGAAATTATCTGAAAAGCATAGTTTCTTTTCATATAATCGTGACATTTAATAAAACTGCCTATCTACCCGTCGCAGTTAAACAGTAGAAGACTCAAAGATGGTCGCTAAAACAGCTGGTATAATGCACCATTATATGTAATACAGCGCTCCGCCCACCTCTGTCATTTCAATCAATGAGAGAGAGGTCAAACATGTGCTCAAAAATGACGTCAACGGAACTGACCTTTCGGAAGCATTTGTTATTTGCAAGGGGGATCCCCGAATCTTTTACCTCATTACCTTCAACAAAATAAATTCGCAGCATTAAAATTAAAATAATTCCCACTCTTTATGTAGTCAGTTAAAGTGACATACTTGAAAAGAGATGTTCTATGTAAAATAATGTTTTTCTGTCTTTTTCTTCAAATATTAATTTGCTTCCTCTAAGGAGCTACTTTTCGCAGTGTAGCTTCCGCCGTATGCGTTATGCGGCCCTAGTTCTGTCCTTTCTTCGCGGTATTCAGTACGTGAACATGTCATATTCAGATGAACGAAGGTGAGACTAAATTTTATCCCTTAATCATTAATTAATAGGCCCGATCCGAGTGTGATGGTTAGAACTTTCCCATTTCTGCAATATTAGTGACATAATGTCTACAGTTTCACATATTTTCCTCAGAAATACCAACTTTTTTCGTGCCGGTAAAAAGGGAAGAACGCACTCACCCTGTCGGCCATTTTTGGCACGTGTGATTCATTGGCTTAACATATGTGTGTGAGGACACGACATTAATATTCTTATCACCTTGATTTTATGAAAGATAGGATGATGGGTCAGTTATCCCCTTTGATTTAATATCAACACGATCATGGGTTATATTCATGACCCTTTCTGTTGACTGATCACGTCAGGGCAATTTTGGGGTTCGCGTTTCGTCCAACATATCTCATTTTCTGTTTCGACAGATACTTCAAACTTAAGATTCAAAGGTCGTTTTTTGATGGTGATTGAATGAACGCCTTTGAGTATCACACAACTTGGTGATAAAGGAAACGTGTTAAATTTCTCGGAAAAATACATTTTTGATTCGCTGAAATCTGAATAGGAATTATGAAGGTCTAGTTAACGTTCATTGTTTTAACTTATATAAATTTTTAATGTGATCTGTATATCGTGTTTGGATACAATAATGAATCAAAGTGAAGCAGGCATAGGAAATGTATGAGAAGTATGGCAGGGGTTAACAGTTGTTCCATGGATTATTTAGCACAAATAACTAGAGTACCCAGTTTCTAGGCCTTCTATGGCGGGGCTTTTAACACATTCAGACACAATAAGTATAAGCTCATTGTCTTATGGCATGAGTATATTATATACATTTGGACACTTTAATACCAGGTAAAAGATTTCACAACACAAGTGCCCAGTTTCGCAATCTTCTATTTTTAGTATATGACATATTTCGTAATGTCTCAATAACGATCATTTTGAATATAGTTACAGACTGGTAGTTGTAATTCATTACAAATCAAATGACATTGGAAGAGAAACAGCTAAAATTGAACAAGGTGTTTGTGTCATCTGGCCATGATTCGCCGCAAAAGGAAGCATGACCAGCACATATTGTAGGGGTTGCCTTTCAAAACACATTTTAAACAAAGCTGAGGTGTATTGAGCACACATTTTTTTAATATTGAACATGATTTATGATGTTATCGAGAAGTGTTCACTATTATCGACTCTTTTTCTCATCGTGACATTTTTTTCTTTGCAGGTCTCATGAGGACCGAGACCATTTTGAAGATCATCATCAGCACCATGAGCATTCAGTAAAAGGGTAAATAATGATAATAAAAGACCCCACATGGCTTGTCCTCTCATGAATCAAATTATCAGTTGTTGCCAACAGATATTATGGACAAGTTTTTTTTTAAATTTTATTTCACATTTCATTTTACGTATAATTTATATGAACCCTACAAAATTTAATATTTGCAAAACTTTTTGTTTTTAAAGGGATAATAACTCTTCGTATGAAATCTGTATTTCACAATAAAAACATTGTGAGTGACTCATAAAAATATAATATATTCTGTTTTCCCACAAAAACGGCTGTTATAGCTATTATTCTGATATCTGAGCTTGTCTTTAGACCACGTGACCTCCATTGATGGCTATACTCTGTTAAAATCTCTTAAGAGATTTTAACAAAAAACCAAACTTTTTAGAAAAAAACCAGGGACTAACTTTGAATGTAAAAATGGATTCATTAACCATTGGTAAGTATGGGAAAATTGTTGTTTACTCCAGGAAAATTCATTTTTTGGCCGAAACAAAGAGTTATTATCACTTTAATGTCTGAGCTTTATGAAGTTTTTTTTCCTGAAAATGCTACATCAAATGGAGATGTAATAAGATTATGAAAGAAATTAGTTCTGAAAAAAAATATTATGTTACACATTATTAGTATATGCTCATCTCGAATGGTACAGATTTTCTTTCAATACATAATAATTTGCAAGTCACCTGACCATAAAGTGAGACAAATTTGCACCCACTGAAATGAAAAGCTGGGGTAGCGCTAACACTCGCCAATTTAGCCAAATGCTAAAACTAACTTAAATTGGCTAAACCAAAACTGGATTTGACTAATTTTAGTCAAATTAAAGTCATTTGGATAACAAATTGACAAAAATGTGGTGATTTGGCTAAGCGTAAAAATTGCTAGCACTACCCCAGAAAAGACATTTTCCACTCCCTGTCCATGAGGTCATACCTGTGCTGTTAAAGCATTTTTTTTAAGAGAGGCAAAGCAGTGTGATTGAAAAACTTACAAACATCTGAACATGCAGACATATTCTCTCTCTCTCTCTCTCTATCTCTATCTCTCTCTCTCTCTATATATATATATATAAACACCCCTTGTGTAATATAATGTGGTAAATCATGTCCCCTTTCTCTACGTTGCAGGTCAAGAGATAGAGATGATGGAGAGCAGCAGCAGATACAGGGTGGGGGGAATTACCCCAGTGGAGAGTCTGACGGCCCAGCTGGGATGGATGTAGATGGAGTTATCGAGGTAAGTATGATTGTAGGGAGACAGTGAGCAGTACTGTTTATGATGATTTTTGTAAAACACCAGGTGTCACATGACAAAGTGTACAAGGTAAAGTGTTTGTGTAAGTAGTTTCTGATTTAAGTCTATTAACATATCATTATGAAGAAGTAAACAGTTTGCACTTTCAAGAAGATGTTGTGACTGTGCACTTGGCAAGCTCTGTAGTTTCTCATTGGAACTGTACAGTCCTTCCTTATAGATGTGAAACCTAAGCCACAATTAGTGTGGTGTAAATGTACAGTGGAAAAACACATAAACATGTATGGACTTGCTTTGTTTCAGAGTAACTGGAATGAAGTGGTAGACAGTTTTGATGACATGCACTTAGTAGAACATCTACTAAGAGGAATTTATGCCTACGGGTTTGAGAAGCCATCTGCTATCCAGCAGAGAGCAATAATCCCTTGCTGTAAAGGTATGGAATTACCATCGGTGTAGTTACGACTACTGTTTACTACTATAGTTGTATTTACAGTATTAGATGCAATGAAAAATATTTTTGGCAATGAATCGATAAGTAAAAGATAATAGGGAAAAGAATAACGATGCTTAAAAAAATTGTGTGCGTGGTGTATTGAACATACATCTGTGATAAAACATTCTGCATTGTACTGGTAACACAACGGATAATGCTCAAACATCCTCACCTCCATGGTGAGGAAAAAAAAGCCCAGTGTTGAGATGAGGATTAAATACGCCTTCTGCTACAGGTTTCCAAACCTTTGTGACGCATCGAAGGTCAACTGACATCCCAAACTGTTCTTATTGCTGGCACTGCTGCTGTGCTCCCTCTGTTATCGAATTCTCATTTTCCTGTCGTACTCCCGTTTCCAGGCCGTGATGTTATAGCCCAGGCTCAGTCTGGTACGGGAAAGACTGCTACCTTTGCCATAGCCATCCTGCAGCAGATTGATGTGAAGAGACCAGAGTGCCAGGCCCTTGTGTTAGCACCCACCAGAGAACTGGCCCAACAGGTAAGAGACAGGTGTGACATTTGGTAAGCCCCCCCCCCCCTCCCCCTTTAGGAGTCCAAAATCAGTTTTGGGGCTAAAATTGTAGCTTGTTAAGATTAAGCCAACCAAGCTACATTTCACTAAGAATCTTAGCAAAAGTTTTATTGATTTATTTTTTTGATTATTATTTAAATTTTTTTATACTTTTTTGCAGTCTTTTAAGTAACCTTTTGAGAATTTTTTTTTTTAAGGTGATAGGTCAATTCATCATGTCTGTTGTCGACTACTTGATTTGAATATAGAAGCCTAGGCATAGCCCTAGAACTTTATCTAGATCATTTATCTTTTTAAAAAAACCTTCCCAAAAGCACCCTAAGGTCTCTCACCATGGACCCATGTGGTCGTCACGGGAAGGAGAGGAACCACCACAGCCCGTGGGTGAGGTGCTGGCAGTTCTTGTTGTCATAGCCTCAATCGGATGTGGGACACTTCTTTCTAATCAATTCTTTTTCACTGTCCCTTTTCTCCTGTGTATTTTGATAGGAAGGGGGAGGAGTGGAGAGAGAGAAATAAAAAAAAACCATAAAAACCAAAACCATATATGCTCTCCTGTTTCAGATCCAGAAAGTAGTAATTGCACTTGGAGATTACTTAAATGCAGAGTGCCATGCATGCATCGGTGGCACAAATGTGCGAGAGGACATGGGCAGGCTAAGTCAGGGTGTACACGTGGTCGTAGGGACCCCAGGACGTGTGTACGACATGATCCAGAGACGGGCGTTAGGTGAGTAGAATTATTCTCTAAATTTATTTTTAAGAAATCTCAGGTAGATTATGCTTCAGCCTGAATGCAGGATACATATTTCATTTACCTGCAGAAATTATGTTAGACATTTTATCAATCGAGTTCAAACTTTTTCAAAGTCGATTACAGATTGACACTGTTTCTTTGGAAACAGACCTTGATGAAGAATTAATCTTGTTGAAAATGAGTAAATTCACTCAAGCAGCATAATTCTTTTTTTGCATCATTTGGTTAAAATCACCCCTCCCTCACAGTTGTTATGGACAAAAATCACCAAAATAATCTTTATCTTCTGTTTATTTTCTTGCAGACCCTCGCTGTATTAAATTGTTTGTGTTGGATGAGGCAGACGAGATGTTGTCCAGAGGATTCAAAGATCAGATTTATGATGTATTTCAGTATATGCCAAAGGAGACTCAGGTACTGTTTTTTAATACTGTATGTATCTATACAGTAGATTTGTATTTAAATTAAGGAATACAGCGTTTGTAATGGTTGATAATGATGAAATGTATTTTTGAAAATTGTCCAGTCTGCTGCAAGAAGACTGGTCCTACACCAAATGCCAGTAAAATTAGTTTAATATCTTAAATTTTGGTCACTGTTTTTGCTTAGGGGCAATAAATATTTAGAGTCTGGTCTACTGAAGGGTCAGAACTGTGGGTTCTTAATGTTTTCCTAAAGGGCTACTAGGCTAAAATGTAATTTATGTAATGTCACACAAACTAAATGATTGTAATGTTCCACATGATCCTTTGGATTAACTTTTCTGCTTGATATTATGTTCGTTATTGTGTTTAAAAAAAAATAATAATAACAAAGAGCCGCAAATGGAGAAATTAAGTAAATTTATAAAATTTCTACCAATTGGTCTCGTCTTGCAGGTGATCCTGTTGTCTGCCACCATGCCAGAGGACGTGCTGGAGGTGACGAAGCGCTTCATGCGCGAACCCATCCGTATCCTGGTGAAGAAGGAGGAACTGACGCTGGAGGGTATCCAACAGTTCTACATTGCTGTGGAGAGAGAGGTGTGGGAAAAATGAGTTTTTTCTGTTTTTTTAGCACAGTATATTGAAACTGTTTTATACCCCCCCCCCCCAACACCACCAAATATATATTAAAAAGCCTTATGTTAACTGATATTTTCTTTTTTAATGATTTTTTATAAAATGTGAAAAAACTAAAATCATATATTGATCACTGATGGTGACTTTCAGGCTTTAATCTGGTTGTTAAAGTTGCTTCACCCTGTTGTTATTCCCAACGGTTAAAATCAGCTTGGCTAAATGTAATGTAATGGTCATCTTGTCGTTTCCAGGAATGGAAGCTGGACACGCTGTGTGATTTGTACGAGACGTTGACCATCACTCAGGCTGTGATCTTCTGCAATACAAGGAGGAAAGTAGATTGGCTCACGGAGAAAATGCACAGCAGAGATTTCACCGTGTCTGCTATGGTATGTACAAAAAGCTCTCTGGTCTTGTGAAAATCTGTTTAATAAGAAGGATTTTTTTATGGAAAGGATTTCTTTCATTATGTAACTCTATCATAATTTTAAGCAATAAAACTGCATTGAAAGAAGTTTCACGAGTATGTGAAATGAGTCTCTATTTTTCATCTGTTATTTTTTTTCCATTTGTTATTATTTTCATTTATTTATTATTATTATTATTTTCCAGCACGGTGACATGGATCAGAAAGAGCGTGATGTGATCATGCGCGAGTTCCGCACGGGTTCCAGTCGCGTGCTCATCACCACCGACTTGTTAGCACGTGGTATCGACGTGCAGCAGGTGTCCCTTGTGATTAACTATGATCTGCCCACAAACAGGGAGAACTACATCCACAGGTATTATGAGGCCTTTTTTTTCTTTAAGTTTACAATTGTACTTTTTAACTTGTTCAGTTTTTATGTCAGGTATTTGACTCACAAAGCCTGATTTTCCACCAGTCAGATATTGAGTTTGGTTTTGGTTTAGCAAGTACCGTAATTTGTTTTGCCCAAATGAAGTGCAATTTTAAAACCAAATTTAAACCCTCTTTTAATTGACGCATTAAGATTTCACTTATAACCTTTCTTAGTTTAAGACATCGAACTAAATCTATATATTTTCTTCGTCCAAAGGATCGGACGTGGAGGCCGATTCGGTAGGAAAGGAGCTGCCATCAACTTCGTCACCAATGATGACGTGCGCTGCCTGCGAGATATTGAGCAATTCTACGGCACAAAAATCGATGAGATGCCGATGAATATAGCCGATCTGATTTAGCCCAACCAGTTCTAGCGATTATGACACTAGCCCGAGGTTAGTGTCTCTCTCTCTTTCTCAGTGTGACGACGGCGACTACATTGTGGATTCTACGCGGCATATATATTTTCCAGGCGAGATATCAGATGTATACACGGATTCTGCGACTGGATGATTCTAGCGATATTTATTTGTCCACACACACATTGACGTTGTTATACTTAAAGAAAAAAAAGCAAAGCGAATAAGAGAGACACATTTGTGAAGAGAGGAGGAGGGAGGGCTGTGTGCCCTTGACCTTGTAAAGTAGGTCACCCAAGAGGTGCCGAACTTGACATTTGAAATCTAATTGTATTCTATATGTAACTGTACAAATTATAGGTACTGTTTGCTAAGCATACGCTTCTTTGTTTTATTTGGCGCCATTTGTGAGCGAGGTGAAAACGCGTATGTTGTACATGCATAAAATTGTAGAGACTGTTCTCAAGCAATCAACGCCAGTTTACTGCATTGGAGATTGAATTTAGTGTTGGTGTATTTTGTACCATATAGATATTTTTGTCCAGTCCTCAATTTATTGTTATTATTTATCTTAAATTTAGTCTATTGGATGTAAAGCTACGTCAGAGCGCGATCTCTGCCCTAGAGCCGGGCTTCGTGCCCACCCCCAGTTAACAGGGGGTCCTTGTTGTAAAGGCTGCCAGTTTGTAGTGATATAATAGCTTTCAATGATAATGCTGCAGCACAAGCTGTGTAAGTTAATTGATGTTCGTAAGATTGGTTTTGGGGAGGAATGGAGAACGTTTTCACCCGACTGCTTTATGGATGTTAGCTTAGAGTCACCTCCGCAAAACTGCAACGGAATAGAAAAATGTGGAACTCCGGTTCGTCCTTTCTTGCGTCAGGAGGAGGAGAGGGTTAATGTGCCCTCTTTTGAAGACTCCCAGACAAAGCCAGTATGCCTGCTGCAAAGAAAAGACGAATTTAATGACAAAAATGACGGAAAGAAGAACCAAAACTCAACGGTGCACGCTTGGCAGGATACAGTTCCGGGTTATGTCATGTTAGCACAGGGTAGGAAATCCGTGCATGTCAGTGCCATGTGCGCGAGTCTGCGCGCGAACACGTGCTTACCGCGTGTGCAGGACGGCAGGCTTGTTGCGGATAGAGCGTCTATCTTTTGTGAGGAGAACATCTTGTTAACAAACTATAGATATATTAAATTTTTCATATATTTCAAAAGTGATGTGTTGGTATAGTTACTACTGCTGATAAGAAACAAGTCGGGCGGGGGGATTCCTGAAGGATGTTAAGTACAGTTTGCGGCAAACCGCCGTTTTTAAAATAATTCTTGCATTTTTAAAATGGTGGAAAGCAAAGTAACGCGTTTTTGCAAGTCCCAATCTTTACAAAAACTGGAGTGTATGTGGATTCAAATTCTATTGGCAAAGCTGTTTTACGTTATCAGTTTTAAATAAGCGTGATATCTGCCCATTTAAACGAAGAAATTGTAGAATCGCGTACTGGTTTTTGGCCTTACGATAAGTTGGCGCGCCTTTCATTTTATGTCTTCAGGAGATGACCTACCAGTGAATAGTTCTTTGCTGTATGTTTTAAAACGAGCCGTTTCCCGTCTCTGACACTAAGCAAATGACGCTGTCGAACGCTTTGTTTTGAGCCTTAATAGGCTGCGTTCACATGAAAAATCTAAATTCTAAAAACCTGAAAATCCATTGGCGGTATCTAATGATCACGGTCTGTGCCCCGAATACCCCGCGGCGTAATTAACTAGCAGCGCGAGCGAGGCGTTTCCAAAGCTGTAATTAAACGGGTATTGTGGTCCGAATTCGGGATCAGCTACCCATTAGCTGCCTGATTTCAACATGAAATTCACAAAAATACAGAAAAAAAAGAGTTGACAGCATATAATCTTGTGTGAAGAGGAAAGGTTGCAAGTACAGTCATCTTAAACTTTAAGAACAATCTATGTAAAATGCAAATAATGTAGGAATATTCCCAGGCGTCGATTTTGAAGCTAGCTATCATGACTTCTAATCGTCACTGAATAATATATAATCATCTTATGAATTATATTTCTGATATATTGATCTCTGCTCGTGAGATAGGCTATAATCCCACAATATAGCACTGCATAATACACTGCTATGCTATGAGAGCATTCCGCTTTTTGCGGCGAAACAGAAGTGAATTATTTAACAGTCCAGGTAACTAAGTATATCGTGTCCGGCGTTTAGGGATAACAACTGTTCGTAAGAGATCCATTTTTCACAATAAATACACTGTAAACAACTCATAGATATAGTATCAATTCTATTTTACCACCCAAATGGCGTTTATCGCAATTACTCTGGAATTTGTGCTTGCCATCGGACCACTTGACCTCTATAAACGGCTACCCTCTTAAGATCTCTTAAGAGATTAAAAAAAAAACTCTTTAGAAAAAAAATAGGGACTATCTTTAACTGTCGGAATAGATACAGTAATCGTGGGTTTGTATGGGAAACTTGTCGTTTATCCCAAAAAATCCATTTTTTGGCCAAAATAAATAGTTGTTATCCCTTTAGATACAATATTAATTATATAGCACGATAGTGCGGTTTGGGGTAATAAATGAAGTTATGAGTTGTATATATTAAGGAAATTAGTGAGAGATACGCAGAGCTTAGGGTTCTACATCTGCCAACGATGGTTCATCTAAAACGTGTCCCAGTGCGATTAAATCATCGGCGGCTAATAAGTTTGTTGGTCACTGGCGTAGTAATAGTCCTGTCGTTGTTAATACTTTCGGATATCTCTGTGCGCATTCGCGTAACAAGCCCAAAGACGCGACAGAGCATGGTGTCGAATGTTTCCCCTAAAGAAAGACACCTTGATTCCAAAGACTTAGCGTTCACCGGCCAACTAGTACTGACAAGTGCAGACTTGATCGAAGACCTGGGATCAAAGGCAGTGAATGCCACCGATCCTAGACTGTTGAGGCTCCTTCGTGAAAAGTGGCTTCTTGCGCCTTCCAGTCGCCCGTACGACTTGAAAAATCCAGAGAAAGAACACACGTCTCAGATAGGGCAATCGCAGACAGTTGATAAACTACTGAAGCAGAGGCAGAACGGCTTTTTTGTTGAGGCGGGAGCGGCGAACGGGGAGTCCCATTCCAACTCGTTATTTTTCGAGAGATTTCGGAACTGGACTGGGGTACTCGTAGAGGCAGACCCGTGGGCCTTTTATAAGATAACCAAAAAACACAGGTAGATGGATTTTATTTCGAGGTCACACTGCTTGGGAATACAAAACATGGTACAGGTGGTTCTCAACAATATTTGGAGACTATTTTTATTGTCTCGATTTCTGATATATACAACACAAAATACTGTACTATATATGCATATTTGTATAATTATAAAAACACTTAAGCCTTTACCATACAGTTTGACATCAGAAGAATTTGGCAATATGACATACTGATGTGTTCTGCCACGTGTGACTGTGACTATGCGCTGCGAGGATGATTGATGTAGTGTAAAAAATTTGATTGTCTTGTTAGTCTATGGAGAGAGAGAGAGAGAGAGAGAGAGAGAGAGAGAGAGAGAGAGCGTTTTACATAACGATACAGGTGTGTCGGTACACTTCAAGAGATTGACAAATTCTTAGCCTTGTTAGTGGCTATTTGATTGTTGTTTGTTACTTGTTTGTAAATCCATTGCTCAATTTAAAACAACTTTTTTCTTTTTTAATACAGGAAATCATATATCATCAACACTTGCTTGTCTCCGAGACCGCATCCAGAGCGAATGGAGTTTACATATGCCAGTGAGTTAGGCGGCATTGGTGAGACGGGCCACGTTCTCCCTGACTATGCACAAGACGCCATTCGTGGCAAGGGCTTTCCGCAGTGTTTCCCAATACACTCCATCCTGGCGGCGCTGGGGGTGACCCACGTGGACTACTTCTCCCTGGACGTCGAGGGGGCCGAGGTGGAGATCCTCCGGTCATTCCCATGGGAAGAAATCACCGTGGACGTGTGGACAGTAGAGTATGGGGTTTTCGGCTCTGGAGGAGGGGGAGACACGCAGAAGCGCCTCAAAGGCACCAGGGAGATTTTCCAAAAGACTGGGTTGTACCGGGAGGTGAAATTTCGTAAAACACAAGATGTGTTGTTTGCTCGACGAGAGGTATTGATCTAGTATAGAACTCGTTACTTGTGTGTAGGTGGACAGTGTCACATACAAACGTCGACGGTATAAACTTTAGTCGCCTGGATACGCCATATTAACCTTACATGTCAAAATTGATGTCCGACGCCCTGGGTTTATGGAGACGTTTGCAACTCGCCACTCTTCTACACAATATCTACTATCAGATACTGGAAACACCGTGGAATCGGCACAGACACACTGATATTCATTTAACAGGACTGCAACTGGTACATCTTGGGTCAAAATAAACCGTGTTGTCGATCCCTCGCCATAGTCTGGACTTTTCTGATTGGCGTGACATGGCTACAGTTTCTTTTTTACCTCTGAGCACCACGTTCGCCAGGCTTCTCCTGTGTCTCCATCTAGGAACTTACAGTAAAATCCGGGTCTCAGCCTTAGTAATTCATTTATGAGTTATATGCGAGACAATACAGTGCAAATATGAGACTCTGGAAACCGTACTGGGAATGGAAGCTGTCAATTTTGGACGAGGTCGCCCAAAATGTTGATAAAAAAAAACTCAAAAACAGTTGTATGGATCTAAATTTTCTCAACGGTCGTGGTTAGGGTATACTTTGGCGGGGGAAATAACCAAAATGATATTAAAAGGGCATAAATTAATAGAAATAACAATAAAACATAGTATTCTAGTATTATAAATTTATTTTCCATATGTAACTGGCTTATGTTCAGACGTTCTTAATAAGTATACTGTGGACATAAATCGTATGAATATTTTGTGAAAATGTTCATGAGAGGTGAGAATGACGTGGGTTATGACGCATGCGCGACTCTAATTCATCATCGCAGCGATAAAAGTAATATGCAAATGAAGCATGTGAAACACTTGTATTGGTGTGCCTGTAAATAGAGTGAAAATCAGTGGCATAAAGGCAGAGGTTGGGGTCCGAGATCTTCCAGCAATGGATGTTTTGAAATGTCTTTTAATGCCTTTAACGCTTCGAACGCTGAAAATAAGTTTGTTAATCGCTGCGGTAATGATCATACCTTCATTGATAGGCCTACTCTTGGATGCCACAGGCCGCGTTCGTGAAACGGACTCAAAGCCGCGACAGAGCAGGGTGTTAAGTGTTTATCCCCAACCTGACCACTACAAGAAACCTAGCGTTCATCGAGGTGACATTTTACCGACAAGTGCAGACATGATCGAGGACCTTGGATCAAAGGCAGTGAATGCAACCGATCCTAGATTACTGAGGCTTATCCGCGAAAGATGGCTCCTTGCGCCGTCCAAACGTCCATACTACTTGAAAAACCCAAAGAAAAAACACAATTCTCAGGTAAAGCAATCAGAAACAGTTGACGAGCTATTAAAGCAGAGAGAGAACGGATTTTTTGTTGAGGCGGGGGCGGCGGACGGGGAACTCTTTTCTAACTCTTTATTTTTCGAGAGATTTCGGAATTGGACGGGATTACTCGTGGAAGCAGATCCGTGGATCTTTGAAAGCTTGATCAAGAAACACAGGTAATTTCATTTAGTTCGAGATCAAATTGTTCTAGACTTAAAAAACACACACATTTACTTCGAGGATGATATATCATTAACGCTTCGATGGTTTTAAGCTATATTTTAGTATTCATAGTCCTGATTCGTGACTATATAAATTTATTGACTGACTTTTGCTACGTGTCATATACCAAACAGTTTTTCCTAAGGGAATGCATGGCCTGCATTGCCTAAAGCCAAAAGATCGTAAAGTTTATGACTATGCACAATATAGTTTCAGTTATTTCTATTCAGATGTTAAAAATTGTTAAAAGTGTGTTACTTTTCTTCAGATTAGTTTGAAAAGAAACAGTTAACATACTAAACATGTATTAAAAATCTTGCACTTAGACCCCCATTCCGTGGATAAACCCAACTTTGCGGGGATTCTCGTTAAGTGCAATCAGCTTAATTGAATGACCATTTTAGTAGATCCCCAAATCCCCAAATTCCACTGGTGTCACTTAATCCTATCATTCCAGCTGTCATCTTTTTCTGCTTTTTTTTTTTTTTTTTTTGGGGGGGGGGGGGCAGGGCATAATCACCACTTCATCTCCTGGTACACTAGTGAAAAGGGCTTTCACATCGAACGACTCCAGTACCCCCCAACTTCTGAATAAAAGCTATTCACCCGGATAACCTCATTCCCACATGAAGATGCTCTGACAGGCATCGAAATATTGTAGGTAAACAATTTTAATATTTAACTGTTTGCTTTATGAAAAAAAAATACTGTTCTTATAACATAACACAGCTGGTGAATTACTTCTCTGACTTACAGAACTTTCTTTCCACACAGGAAATCATATACCATAAACGCCTGCCTGTCTCCACGACCGCACCCACAGCGAATAGAATTCACATATGCCAGTCTCTTGGGCGGCATCAGTGAAACGGGACGCGCTCTTCCGGCAAATGTACAAAGTGTTATTCGTGGCAAAGGCTTGCCGCAGTGTTTCCCAATACACTCCATCCTGGCCGCACTGGGGGTGACCCATGTGGACTACTTCTCCCTGGACGTCGAGGGGGCCGAGGCGGAGATTCTGAGGACATTTCCCTGGGGAGACATCACCGTGGACGTGTGGTCAGTAGAGTACTCCGTTTTCGAGAAAGGACCGAAAGGAGAACGCGAATTGGCTCGACGCCTTAAAGAAATCCAGGAGATTTTCCAAAAGACAGGGATGTACCGGGAGGTAAAATTTACTCGTGGATTGGATGTTCTGTTTGCTCGACGGGAGATTCCAGAATAGAAGATCCAAGGATCCAATTTTAAAGGAACATGCATGTCAAAGGTTTAAAAAGGATAGCAACTACCCATGTTAGGACCTCTCAAAGTGAGATAATTGTACTGGAGAAAGAGGTCACAGTTGACTGTTATAACCTTGAGTTTCAGAGGCCGCAGGAAATAGCCTAAAAACGCTTCTCTACTATCAGAAACTGGAAACAGCAGAGGCATACTGTCAGCCCGCGTAGTTAAAGAAGAGAAACGCAAGTGTCCTTCATAACTCATGGTGTCAGCTAATTGCAGCACACAAATTACTCTAAAACATTTGTAACATCTTTCTTGTGATAGGGTTTTTTTTTTAACCTGGACTACAACGTATGAGTATTTATACATTTTTCTAGATATCCAGCAAAGTTATTTACCTTTCCCCACTTTCCAGACCATTTTAATTTTATGAAACCCCTCAAATAAAAGTACTCGATGTCAATATTCCCTCCTGGCAGTCTTAATGTCTGGCCAAAGCTTAACTACTGAATTAGAAAAAATATAAAAAAGTGATCCTAAGTGTTCTTTTTATATGCCATAAATGTATATTAAAGAAAAAAAAATTAAAAAGAAATTCAAAACTAAAGTATATACGTGCTGTTACACAACAATAATATTAATTTTTGAAAAAAGTTTATTAACTTTCACAAAGATAGAGTTTCACAATGATAGTAATAATCATACTTTGAAATATTAACTATAATGTAATAGTATGAAAAATACAAATTCTTTTTAAATATTCTATCAACAATAAGATATCAAAATTGAACACCAACACGCCATAGGGCATGAGGCAACAAGAACCATACATGATCTGAAATTGTAGTTAACAAGATTAATACAATTTACACAATACAATCATAATAATTAATACAATTAAATGACTGAAAAATGACATATATTGCACCTGTAAGAACCAGTTTCACAGTTGGCACATAGGGCCAAAAATACGGGAAAATATGGCTGACCATATTTTCATGCTGGACTAATTGGTTAACTGATCAAAGTGACCTAATAATTACTAAGAAAAAGGATCTTGGTGAATTTTTATGTTTGTATAAGCATTTGCATTGACTCAATTAAAGTTAAAAAAAAAAAAAAAACTCGGGTCAAAGTGACCTAGCTGCAAACATTTTAGATCACAATGACCTACATGTTCATGCCTCTACATATAATGATTACCTGAATACCATTATGTGGTTTGTAATATTAACTACTTTGCAAGTTTCTGGTGTGTTTGCCAGAGAAAAGGAATTCTGGTATCTTATTAATGCTTTTCTTCACTTCTTTTTTTTTGCTTTTGCAGGAACACAAAATTGCGAATATCAAATATTATCCATTTCATTAACAAAGTGACCTGAGCATGCTTAGAATAAAAATGCAAAGAAACCATAATTATACTGATATACATTTTTAAATGAATTGTTTCATACTTAAAGTACTCAAGTTGTACTGGTTTTATAAGTCAACAGCAGTGACCAGATGGCCGGGACCAGGCAGCCAGTACCAGACAGCCGGTACCATACAGCCATGACCATAACAGAAGGGACCAGACAGTCAGGACCATACAGCCCACACCATACAGGCAGGACCAGACAGTCAGGACCATACAGTCAGGACCATACAGGTGGGACCAGACAGTCAGGACCATACAGCCCACACCATACAGGCAGGACCAGACAGTCAGGACCATACAGCCCACACCAAGCAGGTGGGACCAGACAGTCAGGACCATACAGCCCACACCATACAGGTGGGACCAGACAGTCAGGACCATACGCCCTGACTAACTGGTCCCGCCTGTCTGGCCCCTGGTCAGTTACGGGACGGGCAATTAGGACCTTACAGGAGAGACCAGACAGCCGGGACCATACAGGCGGGACCAGACAGACAGGACCATATGGCTGTGGCAGTTAGGACCTTACAGGGGGGACCAGACAGCCGAGATCAGACAGCCGGGACCATACAGCATGGCCTATATAGGCGGGACCAGACAGGACCATATGGCCGGGGCAGTTAGGACCTTACAGGGGGACCAGACAGCCGGGACCATACAGAAGGGACCAGGCAGGCAGGACCATATAGCTGGGGCAGTTAGGACCTTCTAGGGAGGACCAGACAGCCGGGACCATACAGGGGGGGGACCAGGCAGGCAGGACCATACAGTCAGGTTCAAACAGCCAGGACCAGTCAGGATAGAGACTATTTATGGCAAGGTGCACTAAAATGCCCATTATAAATAACAACACCAATTACATCAAATAATGGTAATGTTCTATACTATTAAACACAAAACAATAAATTAACAAAAAGTATGATCTTAGTCCACCAATGAACATCACACCTGATCAAAATTGTCTCTGCAAAATGTATCTTAGATATTAAATAATTTGTAAACATCTACAATATGAACACACATTAAAAGGAACAATGCTGAGGATTTCAGAGTGCACCTAAAAATTAAACACAATGACTAGCAATATTACATAAGAGGGTCAAAGTGACCTATATTACAAATTAAATAGAGACAAACATTACTTTTTTGTTACATGATCACAAATTTTGATGCTCAACGATTGGTTGAGTAAGTGAGTTAACCATTGAGAGCACATTGCTGCCATCTTGGATCTCCATGGCTGGCCACTGCATGAGGCAGATACATTGTCAGCAAGTTCTCAATGTTCCTGTATTATTTTCAATTATCTAAAAAAATCATGATCATATAACAAAGCAATTACAGACTTAGTGTTTCGATCACCTCTTGATTAAGCTCAAACTGTTGACCTGGCCAAAAGGTGACTGCACCCAAAGTCAATAGTTGTGTAGAGGAACATAGGGCTCTACATAGGAGTCAATAATTTAAAACAATACAATAAATTGCCACCTGCTATATTTGTTGAGGACAAACGCAAGGTTCAGGTCTACTGGTAAAAAACCCTGCAGCAGAAATGGCCTCGCTTTGCAAAATGTTAGAAGATATAGATGAAGAGTAAATCCTTGACCTATAGGTTGGCTTGGCTGTGCCACAGGTAAAAATGTAAAAAAAAGCCATTTATATCGAGGGATCTTGCACTGTTTGTACATAAAGACATACAGTTCAAATATTCCAAATGTTTGACAAAAAAACAATTTTGAAAGGCTCATCCGTAGACATAGGTGGTAGCAGAGCAACATATATGTATATTATGCATTTGGGAAATTGTTGATGACCTTTTTGGATTCTAAGTGAATATCGTTAATATAATTATTGTGATGTACTTTTGGTCTGTCAACCAGTAATACTGAATAAATTGACTTTAAACTTAGAATTGAACAGGGGGTCAAATTATGGAGAGCACCTTCAAGTTTAACATGGCACTAACAGAATTCTATCAGTAACACTTGATAACAAAAAGGAAATTTGGAGTATACAACATCTGCCATTAAATACATTCCTGAAACGAGAGACTTGATTTAAAGGGTCACATATAAAGTAACACATTCAAAAGACACAAATTTGTATGATACACCTATAGATCACATGCCCAAATCCTGAAATATGCCAAGATTTTAGACATTGTGTGATGAACAGTAAAATTAACTAGAGCTGGTTCAGTTCCCCTAGGAAAGGGCACCTTGAAGCGATAACAGGATTGCTTTAGGGACTTACGAGTACTGCAAGATTGCTGACCTCTTCCAAGGCAAAAGGCAATGAACTTTATGGAAAGAAAAAATGTGGACCAAGATTTGGTTAAAATTGTTACTGATTTTCACTTTTGAATAACTGGTTATCCTGACAATTTCATCATAACTTGTTCAGAACATTCTGAAAGATCTTGTCAGATAACAATTCCCATAACCTTTGTCATTGGGAGAGGTATTAACACATTGATAATACAATACAATAGTTTCATTACAACCTGCTCTATTGCACTTTAAACCAGAGGACTAAACAAATTAAAGTACTGCAGCTGACAGCAGAAAATGACCACAATTCAGTCAGCCTTTACCAAAACACGTTGGTGCCAACAATTCCATTGGTGCCTTTTCTGTAACATGTTGGTGCCAACAATTTAGTTGGTGCCTAACTGTAACATGCTTCTGCTCAGTCAAACAAAATCCTCCTGAAGGCAGTTTGCCCAACTAATTTTGAACCAAACTGACCACCTTACATGTAAATAATATAGGGATATAAAAAGATGTGGTCTCGTGTTCAATTGAGCAACTTGGCAATGCTTTAACCATGGCAGCAGTTTGCCAGAATCAGTAGTGAAAATGTCCCTAGGTCGTCATCCATTTTTTTCTCCATATTCAATTCTCTGTTTCCAGTTGTTCTTCTCTTTGTGCTCCATGCCCACCCCTCTTCCAATTTCTTATATGACATCAAACTCTTTCAAATCTGCCTCCTCTAAATTAAAAATAAATACAATACCTATCACTGTCAGAAAAAAAAATTGGGGTTTACCTACAAATTGCTCCCATTCTCGACATCAAACTGTTCACAATCACCTCATCTTGTGCTACAATAGTGGTGGCTATCAGTGTCTGAAAGAATTGGCCCCTCACATGTTAGTTTTCAAAATTAAATCCTCTCCATGCTGTGCTGCATATTAATCCAATGCCATCAGTCTTTGGACCACTGTCACATGTTATAAAAAAACAAATATTCATCATCAATTAAGGTTTTTATATGTTCACTGGTGGCAACAGGAGGATCTTATAAACTGTGTTGTTCACTCTTATGGTTCGATTGACTGAGTCCCCAATCTAAAGCACCTGGATGGAAGTTCAAAAGAAAATTTTGATCTCCGTTCACAAAAATATACTGCACTGAAAGAGCTTTTCTTTAGCTGCTCCAACGGTAAGCCATCAAGGTGGCTTTGAGGGGTTAAGAGTGAAATACTGGCTAGCATTGGTGCCATGAGTACAAAGAAATGTGCTTCATTGGTGGCAGCGGTGGGATTAATAGTACACATCTGCTTCTTGCTCAAAATGTTCCTCTTTCAGTGCCCCCAGGGTAAGCCACCGGGATTTCAACAGTGGGATTAAAAATACACATCTGCCTCTTGCTCAAAATGTTCCTCTTTCAGTGCCCCCAGGGTAAGCCACTGGGATTTCAACAGTGGGATTAAAAATACACATCTGACTCTTGCTCAAAATGTTCCTCTTTCAGTGCCCCCAGGGTAAGCCACTGGGATTTTAACAGTGGGAATCGTGGGATTAATAATACACATCTGCTTCTTGCTCAAAATGTTCCTCTTTCAGTACCCCCAGGGTAAGCCACCGGCATTTTAACAGTGGGAATCGTGGGATTAATAATACACATCCGCTTCTTGCTCAAAATGTTCCTCTTTCAGTGCCCCCAGGGTAAGCCACCAGGGTGGCAGCGGAGGCTTGAGTAGTTGTCATAACACAGTGGCGTGTTTGTCCAGCGAGGACATTCTGTTACTGATGTCCTTTATCCCCTGCTGGATCCTCTTCAGGTGCCCCACTTTGGTCACTCCTAGCTCCTGCAAAATTTTTCAGAAATACATTCGATTGGATTCTATCTAATCATTATACGAAGTTTTTTTTTTACCTTTTTCACATCAAGCGGTGCACTTTGAGAGACTGACAACTGTAAGCAAGTCACCTACTCTGAAGCAGAGTAAAAAACACTGTAACTTAATTAATTATACTTTAGGACCACTGGATTAGTCAAAGTAAAGTGCTCAGTAAGCAAACAACCTAAATAACCATTACCTGGGCTCAATCTAGCATGTTACAAAACTTTCATGAAGTTTTAAGAATATCTAGATTGACAAAAGAAAATGAACATGTCTGTTTCCTTTCTGCCAAACTACCCAAAATTTGTAGTTTTTTTTTTCTGAACATTTACATAAAACCAAAAATTTGCCACAATGAGAGCAATCACAGTTGAAATCAGTTGTCTGTCATATTAATTTGAAATAAGCACAGATATGCAAATATAATTTATTGTAACATTTTGTGCAAAATGCATTTTTTTCTTTTGTATTTTCCAAGCTGTCAAGTTAGTACTTGTACATGGGTGGAAGTTGTAACTTGCAATTTCTCATTACATTTAGACCATATGACAAAAAGATCAAAGTGAAGATTGAAAATCCTGAAATCCAGCACAATCCTGAAACTTTCACCCATGAAAGTAACAAATTTAGGATGAGGCCAATTCTATTTTCAAGATGCTCTAAAGAAAAAATCTTATATCAGAGGCAGCGACACTAAATGACACTTCTAGACCTGCAGACCTCTTTGACGAAATCAATATCATTTCAAGTATTTTAGTGTTTTATTTTAATTACTTAAATAAATTTTAGTAGTTAAATATGATTAATCAAGGATTGAACATGTGAATAAAAAAACTTGTCAAGGTGCAATAAAAAAATTTACATGCAAACAATTTTCAATACACACATGAAAACTTCAAATGCTCCAAATACCATCAGATATTAGCAGGGTCAAGAAAAAAAAATTAAAGTCATCTAAAGTTTGCCCAATTCCTGCCAGGTGTAAACACATTTGCCATTGAAAAGTAAGTCATGGTAAGGCATTCAAAACTCATTCAAAACAGCCTGTGAAACCTTTTAAATAATCCTTTCTCAAGTCACTGCATTCAGGAAGGTGTTACAGACCCAAAACATCCATTTCAAGGTGGCAAGAGCAAATTACAGCAATTACTTAAATTTTTCAAACTAAACTTTTTGCTAAACTAATTTCAATGTTGCCTTTTTCAAGATAAATCACTTTCAGTTACTCACACACTGTAAATAAGTGAAGCATCTGACATGAAGCCCCAAAAATTCAAAAAACCATATTTCGATTATTACTCACAAAACAGTGTTTTGAAGAAAATAATTACTTTTGTTTGGTTTTAATGAGTAATTGCCATAATATACAAAAGATAATATTTCAGAGTATCACACATTTAAGTTTCATCAGAAAACATGCATAAAATCGGGCAAGACATGGTGTACTTGGACCAATGATTAAAGTTTCTAACACAGGAAGAAAAAAATAATAACCCCAAGGATATTTAATATTTTCGAGTTCAGAGATTAAGGATTTTAGAGTTGTGAGAAAACTGAAAAAAATTGTTACCAACAAATGCTAGGCACTCCAGTTGTCAACTTCATACGTACATTATTTGCATTAATTTTCCAATGTTCAAATGTTTAAAATTAAAATTAAAAAAAAACTTCAAATTTTTAAAGCTTAATCATTTCTATTTTCAAAAAATGTACTTTTTGACAAGAAGCTAACTTTTCAAAAATGTTGAATAAATCTTTGGAGTATTACCAACAAAGCATAGCTTTTTGTTGAAAATTATGAATTTATTTTCTTCAAATTGATTGAATAATAACCATGGAGTCTGCATGTCAAGTTGGCAAACCTGAGAGAGTAGATGAAGGCCGTATTTACAACAAGACTATCAGATCTGTGATCAAATAAAGCTTGAAAGTTTGCTGCATAATCTCCTAATACAAACTGAATAGATTCCCCGCTGGGATTATGCAGCTAGCTTCCAAGTGGGTTGGCAATATTTGATCTGTGGATCTGTTAGTCTGCAGATCAACTTTGGTTGTAAATGTGGCCAAATTCTTAGCTTCATAAAACCATCTTTTTAAATAACAAAGTTGTGCCAGTGCTTCACACCTTGGACAATCTGCTATTAGTAACTCAAACTGATACCTCATGATGCCATCATAATGTATGTTGTTTCTAAAAAAGATATTTATTTTGACTATGATGTTCCGTTTTTTTTTGTTTTTTTTTGCATGAGTTCATTATTGACAGCAGTTACTTGTTAACACATTCATGCAGGCAGATAGCAACATTATGCCAAACAGACCATATAAAACTAAAATCTACAGAAGCACAAAAAAACAATTAAAGCTTAAAATAAAATCTTAGATTAAAAGCATTATTGATGATAACAGAATAGATAACTAGTATACAATTAAGCAAATAAGGCCCATAGAAGCTATTATTATTACATTTCACTGGTTAGTGTCTAATACACCCAAAGTATTAGTCTGGTCTCATCTGCTGCTGCCAGCTAGCAAGAGCTTTCAATATGCTGGAGAGAACAGCTCTTAACTGGCAATACTGTGTATACAAATAAAGTTTTTTTAATCTATATATTACTAAATGTATATCATACCTAAATAACATAAGTCCAGAAACAGATTAAAGACTTCATTCAAACTTTACTGAACTTCACAAATGTGTGTGTGTGTGTTATTTTACACTACCAACCTCACCCCCACCCACCCGCCCACACATGCATATGCACACACACGTGTGCGCGCACACACACACATGCTTCCCAATATCTCCCAAGACAACCTTCCTCATCCCACTTCTGCCACCAAGGTAGCAGTGCACTCACCTTGAGATCTCTTCGCTCCAGAGTCAGGAGCTCTCTCCCGCGGATGTCATGGCTGATGAAGCTGTCCTTGTACTCCCCGAGGCCCACACTGCTCAACCATTGTGCCACCTCCTCAGGACCCCACTCATGGACATTTAACACTGGAATTTAACACACTGACATGGGTGAAAGCTGTAAAAAACTAAAAAAAATTATGAAAATGTGGCTTGCAATTTCTTTTCACAATATAGCCATATGGATATTCAATGCTCAAAACACTGGGTATACATAACAAAATTTTCCCACTGTAAAAAAAAAAAAGGGGGGGGGGGACGAATAAAGCATATGTTCATATTATGATTTACTGGTCTTTCCTTCAAACACTTACCAGGTGCTATTGAAAGATTTGGTTTCTCTTTTGACTTCCCTCCTTTCTTAAAGAGTCGAAACATTCCCGTCTTGGTCTTTGTCTTGTGTTGTTCTGGTGGCACCTGCAACTATACACAAAGCAAGATACATTTAGAGTACAGGTCATCATAGGACACTTTCACAACCAGTTGGGCCATGGACTAACAAGTCCGCAGATGAAATATGGTGGGAACTTGACAATGGATTTCCGCCTCCAAAGCACATCGTCCCAGCAGGGGCAGAGCAATTAAATCTCAGCACGCTTTCAAGTGGGTGGCGCCATATTTGATCCGCAGACTAGTCCATGGATCAACTGGTTCTGAATGGGCCCAAAATGAACTGGCACCAAATTTTGATGCTAGCCACGGGCTTCAGATCTGTACTTAGCTTGGAATGAGGTCAAGGCGACCCACATATCTCACCTCTTCTTCTAAAGCCTGGAAGTGAGCCAGACCTCCAATTTCGACCACTCTCTTGAGCTCTACTTCAACTGCTGCCACGGAGCTGGACAAACTTTCCGCATTGTCAGACCGCAGACGCTGAAATCGTAGAAGCACATCATTTGATCATGCCTACAATGTATGATAATCAAATGCATATATAAATTCTTGTTGTATAAGCTAAATAAAGTACCCTTTTCCACAACTGTTGTTTCGTTGACCTCTTTGGAAAGGCATCTCAACTTGAAGGGATGTGTGTGAGAGATAGAGAGAGAGAAAACTAGTGTGTTAGCATTTTATTTCATATCCTTCCATTTATTTTTTCATTTATTTAATTTTTTTAAGGGGGGGGTGAAGTGGTGAAGCTGCAGCAAGAGAGGCTAACTTACACATTCAGTTGCCTTCTCTTGTAAAAAGAGGCTGGTTTCTTGGCACAGTAGTCGCACACTGCTGACGAGATCTGACACCTGACTTCTGATTGTGGGCTGGAGAAAAATTTTTTAAAAATGTATATCAAATTTAAAAAACACAATTTAAATGTCATATAATCTCACATTCAAATAGATTATAGCAATGGTTCAACAAACTCCCTATGGTGAGTGACTATGCATTTACTTTAAACAAACTTGCCACAGGCCGCCAGAGTATGATAAGTGATCACGTATGGATGTTTGAAAAAGAAGACAACACACGACACAGCTCAGAGTTTAGTGACACCCGCTATCACCTAGAACTATCACAGAATGTGACTAATCCCCTCCGCTTGGTTGAAATGGAATCCATTTTCTTATGTCATTGCAATACTACTGGTATTTTCTAATTACAATTCTTCTATTAATATAAATGAGCCGCATTCAGTTGGGGCTGTGCAGCACAGTGGCACCACCTATCTTTGAACAGAGACACTTCATGTGCAAACTACCATACCATGTTTTTTGACAAGGTCTGATCAGCTGTGTTTTTACTCATTCTTAGCAATACCATACAATTAAGTCTCTCGCATGCAATATAACCTTTGTTTGCACTATAAGAACAACAAAAAACAATATCCATAAAAATGGGGAAGCCCTCTTTGGAGGCAGTAAGTTCTATATTAACTAAGATCAACTGCTGACTTTAGGAAGGTACCAATTCTATAATACCCATAGTCTTACCTTGATGGGTATTAACACCCTGTCCCCTATATATTATTCCCCCAGTGCCATCTATGCTATGACCACATAAGCAAAAGGTCTTAACCCAGGTTGACAGAGGGTGCTACTAGACTAGTGACATTACAGTGTGTGTGTGTGTGTGTGTGTGTGTGTGTATGTGCGTGCGTGCGTGCATGCGTGCGTGCGTGCGTGTGTGTGGTGTTAGTGACATTAAAGTGTATGTGTGTATATGCGTTGTGTGATAGTGGCATTACAGTACGTGTGTGTATGTATGTTTCAGTGTATTAGTAGAATTACAGTGTGTGTGTTTGTGAGTACATATGTGCATGTCAGTGAGTGCTTGTGCTAACGTAAGAATATGATGGATGTTGATTGTGATTATGTGCTACCTGTGATGGGAGGGGAAAAACATTTTATACAACAGATGTGAACCACATTTTTAGACTAACGGCTAAAACTAGAACTTGCAAGGAAAAAAAAATTGCTGCGTGTGTAAAAGTACAGTACCTAGGTTTGATTGTCATAGACATGGCATTGTAATGGAATTGCAGCACACTGTGAAAATGCGTTAGGGTGGCAGTGTGTTAGGTGTGAGAGTGTGTGTGTGGCAAAAATCCTCAGTTAAATTTTGCAACGAAAACCGTTCTTGATTCCTTCCATCTCGATTAAAACTAAAACAACAGATATGTACCTTGCATAGCAACAACTAAAGCCAAACACCATGCACTGTCCAGTTATTGATGTAATTAGAAAAGAAAAAAAAACAAAAAAAAAAACAGAACAATTAAGACTACACAAATACTAGTTTGCAATGCAAACACAACGAAGATGTGTTTAATGGCATAAAACACATACACACCGACTAGTTCACAATGCACATAAGTCAAGATACGGGTGTACACAAGAAATTCACAACTAGGTCACAATACACAAAACTGGGTCAAGGTCACATTACAACTCGGTCAGATAATATGTGGGTCAAGGTCAGTGTCAACAGGGAAGGGAAATACACAACATCTTCACAACTAGTTCACAATGCAGAGAATGGTAAAGATAGAAACCTGAAAAGCCTCACTGATCCCACGATCCGGCTGCAGTAGGAAAGAAAAGTAGTAATATAAGACTTGGCATTTTATAAAGGAAGTCTAAAAAGACCACTGTATCCACTGACTTTAATTAATGAGACATTATGTTGTTTCTTGCTTGTAATGTTATTTGTATAAAAAAGATATCAAAATTGGAGAATGAAACACATTTGTTACAAAGGACTCTTCCAAGACACCAAAATTCAATCAACCAGTTTTTTAAGTTACAGAAACAACACTTATTGTTTCTTACTGATCATCAAACAGCAAAAAATGTATGCACATTTTGCAAGAAAAAATTTTCCGATTCCACTCAAAACTGCAAATTTTACTATTTATTGCACAAGTACCATGTTAATCAGAGGCAGTGTGTGAGAAAAAAAACTTAACAATAACCTGAATTGGGTTCTGTACATTTACCAAGAGCTCTGTCTACAGGTAGCACTTCCAGGCCCTTCTGTAATTTCTTTCTAATATAGAAATCATAAAATAAAGAATAACGAGTTACCTCTGCCAGTTTTCCTGCAGGATAGAGTCTGTCAAGGAAACCGGATGCCTGGGTGGCCAGGTGGTAGAGCTCTTGTTCTACAGAACTGTGACATATAGAGGCTATCTTTACACTGAAATTATAACAAAACACAGTATCAACTTATTTATTACAGGAAACCAGCCAGCTAAAGCTGTCAAATGTTAGAACTCTTGGCTGCTTCAAGGTGTACCTTTATACAAAATAAGCTAATATGCAGCAAAGGCTGTCAAATGCACAGACCCACATCTGTTTTAAGACTGCATAAATAGCAACTAATGTTTCAAAGGCTAAAGAGAAACATGTGCATAACTTGGCATTATTGAGGCTGAAAATCACTAAAATAATAGATAAATAATAAAAATCAAAATAAATGAACAATGAACAAGACAAATTTCACAAATTGGTTTAAGCAGATTTGATAAGTGCTGCTCATATTCAGGTCTCGGGTTATCAATAAATATCAAGCAAGTCAAGAACCATTACAGAGAATGATCATATACCTTCTGATGACATTTGCTGTTGCCTCCACAAAGGTCTGCAGTATGTTGGTTTCTTCCTCAGTCAGGTAAGGAGAGAAATGGCTTTCCTGAATAATCTCTTCTCTTTTCTGTTTCTCAGACCATGATTTCAGCGTGCTCTCAAAGGACTGAAACAGAGGGTTGGTTTCCTTTTTTTAATTGCAAAATAAAGTCACCATAAAGTTATCATGATACGATGTACTTAAGTAAGTGTGCACTAAACTGCACTGAGACTGATTGTCTAAATTTCAGAAAATAAAAAATAAAATTTCAGAAATTGTTGGGCTGAATATCTTTCGTTAAACAGGCTTATGTTGACCTGCAAAAATTGAACCAGTAGGCTGAGAACTTTTTTGGTTAAAGCCATTTAAACTGACAGGCAGAAATTACTCTCTTCTGATCTTCAAATTTTGATACTCACCCTACTCCATGTGAGCATCTGAGCTCTGTTCTTGTGAGTGAACTTGATGTACCCAGGGGGCTGAACCCACGCCTCGCCGTCCACCTGGACTGGGACCCCCTCGTCCCCCATGATGGTCACTTTCACTGTCCGGCACTGAAACCAAAGGGACAATAAACAATTATAAGTGCTGTGCAACCAAAAATAACTCTTTTTTTTTTTTGCAAATTTTCTCTTATTATTATTACTCTTTATATCAGTGATTTCACCAGCCCTGAAACCAAAGGAAAATTCTTATGAATTGTGCAAAGTTAACTGAAGACAACTTTGTTTGTACACAAAGCTAAAAACATTGTATGTTTTTCAATTTTCTTTAACTCCTCTCTCTCTCCTTAGTTTTTTGGTTGGTCACTTTCACGCCGAGAACCCAAAACAACAGACAATTTACACAAGCCATTTGTGGCTATTTTGTTATTTTGTTTGTCCGTGATGCTACAGTACCATCTCTTAAATTTTTTTTATTTAATGAATGTCACTGTCCCTCCTTCATTTCCTGCAATGGTCTCTTACCTGTGCTATTCTGTGATGCTGCAAGTTAATCACTTTGGAGACCGCCATTTGCATAGAGCCAAATACTGCGACTACTTCCAAGATTTTGTCATCAAATGATGGGGCACTGAAGTTCTGGAATGGTAAGTAGTGATAAAAATATCAATAATGAGCATCTTAAAATAAATCTGATTTGATAAGTTGCAGGAGTGATTTAGGATACTAAAAGGATACTATTATCATGTGTGCTAAAAGATCAATTTAACTAGGCCTTAAAATCACCTTCACATGAATTTAAATTTCTATTTTATTCTTTTCAGAAAAAAAAACAATATGAAAGGAATAAAAAAATACCAAAATGAAGAAAATGCACTCTCCTATATTGGACTACATTTCAAGAATTTAATTCTAACAATATCTTACATAAAACCAAACAAGGAGAAGTCTATCTTAAGTGATCTTCCCTAACAAATGTGACAACTCTTATATCTTCACAAATCACTTACATCATCTTCTTTGGTTCCACCCCAAAAGTTTGCACCGCCCATATAACTGGAGAAGATAAACATAAAGAAACAATGAAAATATTTTTATCAAGTTCAACCAGCCTGTGAAAAAAATATTACCTGTCTACATATTGAATGTTTTGCTCCTTTTTACATCTTGTTGCCTTATCTCTTGGGTCAATACAATGATGACATTATAAAATTATATAGCTATCATTATTTATTATTTTAACGTGAGACTTAAAATAGTCATATTTTAACATTATACTTATAATACATCACATAAATGTGACATATGTGAGTCTGAAGCAGGAGTGGCTAACACATAAAATGTGTCTGAAAAGTAACTTGCATACATCACATACACTCCAAAGGCTGGTGCTCTATTACTTATTCCTTGCAAACTGAACTGTAATACGCTGTATTACCCTCTCCAGCTATAAATTGGTCACAGTGACCTAGTTCAGGATGTGAATTACTATGTGACCTAGTTCAGGATATAAATGACCATGTGACCAACAGGACGTCATTTACCTTGGAATGTTGAGCACCACTATTCCCTGCAGACTAGGTAGAGGTATACGCTGTCCGTCACACTCGAGCTGGACACGCTGCTCCAGATTCTTGAAGGTCTTTGACAATATTTCCTTACCCCCTAGAACTCCATACCACATGATGTTCTTGGTGCGACTTCTGTAAGCAAAAAGGCAACTTTAAAAAACGTGTTCGTAAATCTCAAATGACATGATGATGGTGGTAAGGACAGGAACGCATTTTAGTGACAAATTAGTTGATTTTTTTTTTTTTTCTGTGCTACAGTTGTATTTTTTTTCACTAAAGCCTCTGTTATAAAAGAAAAAGAAAAAAATAAGCTAATTTTTTATCATTGTAAATGTTGAAAGTGAAACGGAATTATCGATAATGCCATAAAAAAATTAAAAGCAATCTTAACACAAATATTTTCCTTATTATCAACATATCAAGACCTCGTTTATAAAATAATTCACATTCAAATAAGCCAGTTTCCCACTTACCTGCACTTCTCTGGGTGTTCTTCTCGTTTGATATGAAACTCCAGAGTAATCTTAGCATCCAGTCCAATACCAAAGTAATTATTCATCACACACTTTTCAGTATATTCCTCCCTGAAAATGACAACAAAATTTTATTCAATATATAATATATAGAGCAATGTATATCAAAATATCTTTTTTTTTATTTTCATTTATTTATTTATTTTTTTGTTCTTGATCAGCATAACCTCAGGGGGCTTCATGAATACTGACGTTAAATTTTGAATGAAATTTGAAAAAATGACACTACACCAACTTATTGGAAGACTGTCAGTGATTAAGGATTAATCTACCTGTTTAAGCCATTAATTCAGATTAACCTTCACCATTATGAACCTGCCAACTTCAGTTAACTTTAATATTGAATTTAAGCAGTATAAGCTTGACCTAAAGCCTAAACACCTATTTATTTATTATTTATTTATTTTTTTTTTGGGGGGGGGGAGGGGGGTAAAACAATTCCTTGGCGTAGAGAGGCACAGCCAATCTATTTATCTAATATGCATTTTACTCACAGTGAGATCTCTTCCTCCATTAGTGGAGAGGCAGCAGCACACAGGGCGTCAGCATTGGCCAGCAACACTTTACTGATGAAGGAGCCGCCAGCCAGACTGCTGGCGATACCACTACTGAGACCTAAACATGGATATTCAATATTTATTATATAAAGTGGATTTAAATTAGCAGGCATTTGTTTCACAGCACTATTACGCTTAGAACACTGCTTGCCAAATTGGTATTTCAGACTGGCAAAATTGTAAAGCATGTTGAAAATCTCGAGTACAAGGTGCTTAAAATGATCTCTAAAGTATTGCTGTACATTTTAATTATTTAACGTTTGACAGATGAAGCAACAATACTTCCTTCACAGGTTATATGCATTATCCTTACGGTTGAAAAGGGATAATAAATTAATATCAGTTATGCTTTTACGTAAATCGATAAGCATTTTGGACTGATGTAATTAGACAGACTCAAGGCAATCAAAACCCCACAATGAAAATACCTTCACCCAGTGTTAAATTGCAATAGCATGGAAGAAAGTGATGATTACAATATCAAAACTAGCTCTTTACAGCAATAATTGTGCAAATATTCAAGAGCATAGGAGGAGGGAGGCACTCCCTTGGTAATTCCAGCATAAACTGTTCCTTTGAAGGAAAATGATTTGCTGCAATAAAGAAGAAATAAGCATCTGGCAATTCTTTTTCTACCTATGAAACACTTTTTGATTTCATTGAATAGAAAAATTCTTTTAAAATGGCAAAATACGCAGAAAAAAAATTGATAGATACAAAATGGCAGCCAAATCCAAGACTGAATCTTGATAAAGAAACAAAATGGTAGCCAAATTCAAGATGGAATCTGAATAAATTGCATCAGTAATGTAACTATTTCTGATAGCTTCCCACTTATCTTTAACTTACAAGTCAACCTGAGGAAATCTGAAGAACAGACCACTGGGAATGCCTTCTTACCCCTCCTCTCACCTGCAGGCCTGTTTACCAAAAAGAGCTTTAGCTTAAAAATAAGACATCTTGGCCCCAGTTTCACACACAAAAAAAAAAAAAAAATTATTTCAGTTTCCCTGGCTACCAACCTCATTACCAAGGTTACATGGTCGCATGGACACATCTTACCTTATCAGGAGCAGTGTAAATCACGGAATTCATGGAAATCCCGTTCAAATTAGCTAGGGAACTAAATTAAGTTTTTTCGTGAAACTGGGACCAAGACATTTTTCTTTTTTTTTTTTTTTCAGGCTAGAGCTCCTTTTTCGAAACGGACTCCCCTTTTGTCTTCCTAAACTATTAGACAATACTTACTTGGGAGCATAGGAAAGACAGGTGCACCCAGAGTGGGTAAGGGTAGTGGAGAACTCTCTGGGCTGCGGTCGCGCGTGCACAGGTTTGAGCCCAGACTAGCAGACCGGTTAAAGGTGCTCATAGAGCTAATTCGCCTCGAGGCCATGGAGGGGGATTTAGAAGACTCTGCAAAATCATGGCTAAAAGCTAGAGGGAGGTTGAGGGTGCAATCACTCACACTCAAAAGATGTTACATTCTGAGTAGGATTGATTTATAACTATAAGCACGCTGAGGAAAATTTAATCAAAATATGATCAATTGGTGGCATGAAGCTAGCAGCAGAACAAGCTTGTCTGATCTAGACTAATGGTGTATTCACACAAGTAGGGGAGGTGCAATCCACAAGTTTTCATAGGCGAAAAGAGCTGATTGTATTACATCATTCAAAGATCATGACACATCTCATTAAAATGAAATGTTGATTTTAATATGAGGTATGTCAGTGTCTACATAAGATGATACACTGCACCTTTTTTTTTTTTTTTTTTTTGAATACAAAATGATGAATCCTCTTATGGTTTCTTCTGTATCAAGAAATGGAAATAGTTGTTTTTTTTTTTTTTTTCAGTACATGAAATCATTTGGATCAAACCAGTCCCACATGGTATAAATACTCTTCATAGAGGCTTCACCTTTCCCCTGTCTAATTCTGGTTATTCCATAGCATGGAGCCATTCGAGAGATGACAGAAAAAGTCACTCAAAAGAGAGGCATTAAGTGACAGACAATATAGATGATCATGTGCTCTTTAAGAAGTGTGTGCAAAACAAATGTGCCCATTTTGTGCGGGAAAGAGTGAGCCATCAAATCTGAAAGTCCAAGGTCCACGTTTCACAAAGAATATTAATCAAAATTTGAGTTTTTACAGACAACTAGTTCGCAAGAATTAAAAAAAATTTTGACCCTTTTTCAAATAATTAGCCCATTATGTAGTTAACTTACTAAATCACCCTGAGTGAAAATAAGCGTCAAGAGTAAGGGTCAATTTGACTCAAAGTCTCAGTCTAGCAACCCCAAAAATTAATAGTGAAATGCAACTCAGCTTTACTAAGATTGTCTTTTCAGTTTTTCTTTGTGAAACGTGGCCCGACAGCACTGCTTATTCTACCGCAGAGACCTGGTTCACCAGGTTCCCCTGGTTCCCTAATAGCAACAGCTGCGATGAAACTGGTCCCTGTGGGGCCTCATTTCACAAAACAACTTTAGACAAAAAATTGGTCTGAGCTTAAAAAACAAAATTTTAGTCTACTTTGGCTCTTCAGTCTAAATCAGTCTTATTTCAGCTAAATAATACAGTATACACAAATGAAGAGCTACTGATTAAGACCACTATTTTGAAGTAAATTAAACTAAATTTTAGACTAAAAGTTGAGACCAATGTTTGGTCTTAAGCTCAAGGGGTCCCTTTAAATAAAAGGGGTCCCTGGGTGACTTATTTATTATTGCAAAGCATGTATTTGGTTGAAGAGGCTTATGCTTGATGTTGTAGAGGCAAACCAAAGTGGAAAATACTATTATCTGTCATTAAAAACTCATCAGTAATTTTCCCAAATTGTTTTTTGGCATGTAGTCAAAGAATATATAAGCAATCTTAGGAACAGATGTTTGGGTGATTAATTGTGAAAATCTAAGGATGAGTTATTCTTTTGAGTCAGAGGACAAAACTTACTCCTAAAGTTGTAGGTGAACACACTTGATTTATAACTACCAAAAACTGGTTTAAAAAAAAAAAAAGATATTTGTTGCTTGGAAACTTAAAAACGAGCTTGTTAAAAGCTGAAGACTGCTTTTCAGGAGGATATTTTGAGCATCTGCTCTTGCAAACTGTTGTCATACCTCAGCTTAAAATTTAAAAAAAGAACTTTTTTTTTAAATACAAAACATACCAATTCTTTTCTTTGCTGCACCAGGTGACCTACTCAGTTTTGGTGAGACGGCTGGGGAATATTTAGGCGGAACTGAGAGGTTCATCATAGACTGGGACTGGGATGTGCGTGACCCCGTCGACGAGGTGCGACCACGATTGTCTGCTGCTAAATGTGCCAGGTCAGAGATGTGCATAGGCGATGGGGGCGTGATTGTCAGGTGGGCCAGCTTCTCCTCCATGACTTTTGTTTGTTCATTCTGCTCATCAACAGCTGAAAAAAAAGGAAAAAAAAAACCTAGATATTCATTCCAATTCTTATCAAGTCTGGCTCCCCTAATTCATTATTATAATTATAATTATTAATATTATTATTAATTTTTTTGGAGGGGGGTCAACATCACATTTACTCCATAATGATAATGATCAAAAGGTAACTATAATATTTATACTTGTAAAATTACAAGACACATCTCGCCTGCACTAACCTCTCTCTGTGTGTTCAATGATTTGTCTAATGGCCTTCTTCAAGCTGTTTGCTCTGGACATCAGTGCGTCACGAGGCTTGAAAATAGCCTGAAATGTCATGGGACACTTTCACTTAAAAACATCAGACAAAAAACTGGTCTACACTTTTAGTTCTTACTTTAGCAAATTTCAAATATCTCAATTGCCAATTCTTGTCATACAATGTCCAGTTCCCCTAATAAATTATTATTATAATTATTATTATTATTATTATTATTATTATTATTATTAATTGTTTTGAGGGCTGGGGAGGGGGTCAACTTCATATTTACTCCCAAAATTTCACATTGTATCATTTACTGATGTAGTTATTAATGGGCTGAACTACTCACTGATTTGATATTCTTTGGTTTTGTGATCCCCTCTGGAACAATGTCTTGCTCCAAATGTTCCGGGTCCTCTGTATCACAGCTTGGGTCAGAGGTCACATGGGAGGTCACATGGGAGGTCACATGAGAGGACTGTTGAGATTTCTACAACGAAGATGAAATATGCAACAATAAAAGAATATCGGTATTATAGTTATTACAATTAAATAATTTGTAAAGTTAATATTAGAGGATCAGAGAGGCGATACCGCCTCTGGATATTGTGCCACCAGCTGGAGTAAGCGCATTCGAATGGACCCCCCCCCCTAAAAAGGGACACCACAACCAGTCTTGTCCTTGACAAGCTCTATGCAATAAACGAGAATTCTCAAAATATGCAAAAAAAAAAAAAAAAAAATTGAAAAAACATAACATAAAAATGGTCCATTCAAGCGGATTTTCATATTGGCCTGTGATTTTCTAGACAACAGGCCTATTGGTTTTCCTTGAAATGTGTTATCAGTGTTGCATATATACTGACAAAAGAGAAAACATAAGGGCAACACTGAGCATATCTCTGCTAGTTTTGAAGATGTGAGGGGCAAGAAAATATGCAAAGTTCAGTGCATGGTGAAAAAGTAGGTCAATTTCAAGGTCAATGCACCAACTGAGACAAAAAAAACCTGGGGGTTCAAGTTGAGATTATATGTGACCTAAATCCCAGAGATGGGGACACAGGTCTTTGCAGTCTAGGAGGAGAAGCGGTAACGGTGACTTGTATCCCAGGAGCCGCAGGAGCCGGCGGAGCTGTACTAGACGAGTCGGGACTAAAACCATGAGTACCGCCAGCGTACACGCTGGTGGTACTAACAAGCAAATTAGAAAACAGGTGCCAATGTATAAAATTCATTGCATGAGATGTCAATCCAACCTAATTCCAAATTTTGCCTGATAAATGAAACTGCATATAGACATATAAGTTGAAAGTGACCTATATTCTACACATACCACTTACGGTGCACTTGGAACGGACTGTACCTTGTAAATTAGGTCAAAGTGACCCACATTCTAGATATAACTGCTTACTTTGTGCTTGGACTGTGACTCACTGGCCGCGGCTTCCTCACTTAAAGTTTGTAGCAAGGAATTCAGTTTTTCATTCAATATTGTACACTGCAATGAGAGGAAAATCAAGGAAGGTAATATTTTCTAATCTTTGAGAATTAAAAAGTAACTGATAACATCTTCTATATTGAAAAAGAAATAATTCTTTGTGAATCTTGTCAACCTGGGATTATCAAAAATATATCAATCAATCAATCAATAAATAAAAAAAAATTAACAGGGAAGAAGCAGGCTTTGAAAAAAATCTAGGAAGAGAAGGACTGACCTTGTTAGAGATAGAATCTTCACCTTCTTCATGGTCATCGTATGCCTTGCCCACTGTGGCTACAAAGTCCTTCACTGTCTGACACAGGACTCTGGAGTAAAAAAAATGGAGGGAAAATAATGGACTCTGAGATTAGCAATATGGCTGTTGTCAAGGACCCATTTCATAATTTAATTTATTTTTAAATAGAATTACCTTATTGGAGTATCTTCCACTGTTTCATTTCTTTTTACTTTCCTAATCATTTCTATTCACAGTCCTTTATATGCCCCTGTGCCTTTAAGATTCCTTAACAATTTTTTATCTAGATTTTTCATTTCATGTTTCACATATTTTCACCTGTGACCTCTATTACTTTTAAATTTTTTTCTGTAGTAGCAACAAAATTGAAAATCGGGCTACTCTGAGTCCTATCCTATACAGTTAAAACACCACAAATGCCATATAGAAAAACAGTTTTTGTAATTATAAAATTATGTAAGTTTGATAATTTCTGCCCATTGAAAAGATCCAGTAAAATCCTGAAATCGGACATCATCATAAAAACATGCATTAAACACCACTTACTTGGCAGAGTGAATGACAACCCCGTGGTCATCGGAATGCAGTATTTTAGATAAATGATTGGCCACGGAGTCTTCGTACACCGAGATAGGGTCTGCCTGCATCAGTAACGACCTTGGCGGCGGCATGGAGGCCTCATAAGTCATGATTGACCAGCGATCCAGCATTTTAATCTGAGAGTGTTCGAGTTTCTCCAGCACGGCAGGGAGTTGCGTGTCGTCATCCAGGGCACCGCCCCATCCCAACACACGGGCCAAGTCATTGCCTGTACCCAGGGGGAGCACTCCAACCTGACACTGAAAATAATCATATTTATTTATTTATTTATTTATTTATTTATTTATTTATTTAACCACCTTTAAAAGATGAATGAAAAAAATGAATAAAATAAATAAGTTAAAATAAATTCAATATATAAATTCTGTGCCAAAAAGAAAATTTTTCTTCTGACCCTTCGGGTAACCAGGGTCTAAGAATTAACTTAGTATGCACCAAAAACTATGTAATTGTTGGGGAAATCTTCAGTGTAAATAAGTAATGAACATTGAGTGCAGTATCCATCAATATTTGCTTAAATATGTACCGTATCTTATATAGTTANATATAAATTCTGTGCCAAAAAGATATTTTTTCTTCTGACCCTTCGGGTAACCAGGGTCTAAGAATTAACTTAGTATGCACCAAAAACTATGTAATTGTTGGGGAAATCTTCAGTGTAAATAAGTAATGAACATTGAGTGCAGTATCCATCAATATTTGCTTAAATATGTACCGTATCTTATATAGTTAATGATATTTTACAACTATTAAAAATAAAGATGTTTTAGGATTTGGTCAGGTGTATATTCGTGCTGAGGCCTATTCCATACCTGTTTGTGAAGCTCCATCTTGTCTATTTCCGACAGCACCCAGCCCATGCTGCCGTCACCACCACATACCAGGATGCGGAATGGGTCAAAATTTTGGAATAGGCGAAGACTGGAAAGATAAAACGGAATCATGCACATTAAAAAAACTGGTGACTAACCATTCATGAGATACGATTCTAATTTCACGGTGTCCTAAGCTCCTAATATATTGAATTGATTTTTAAGTTCTTTTTTTTATTACTAACATTTTGCCTTAGTGGAGGTTTTTGCTCTTGGAGTGCTCTTAATTTTACATATTTAAAACGACTAATGACTAATATTAATTCAACCATTGCATTGCCATAAACTCTTCTTCGAGCACAAGTTGCCATCACTGAACAATGTGTTCATTTTTATGGCTTGATTATCAATGTATATTTAAACTAACCCCACTTTTGGCCCTCCATTCATGAGATCAAACACCTGAGCAGGATTCAGCAACTGCTTGAACCGTCGCAAGAACTTCACCCCCTGGGAAAATAATTTTTTTGAAATGTCAAAAAATGAAGAGGAAATGCTGCTTCAAAATTCTTGCATTCTATCAACTGATAGTTATAGTGCATCAAAAAATTAAAGAACATCAAACAATCTTTAAGAAGAAATTATGCAGTATTATTTATGAGTTTAAGTCAATTTTTTAATTATTAAAAAAATAATAATCCAATTTGCTTAAATACTGAATCTACACCCATCAAGGTAAGGATCAAATTAAATACTTTTCACATATGTGGAAGAAATCTGCAAGTAGATCGAATGACCTAGATTTTATGTAGGTCACCAAGACCTAGATTATGTCACTGACCTGGTTGTCCCCACTTTTAGAGTTAATGAACACAAGTAGGGGGCTGGTCCCTGGGGGTCTCATGGCCTCCCAGTAGCCATCCGAGTCTATGTTGTTAATGGCTATTGGTGGCAAAATAGACACACGACACTGCCCTAGGGGGCATCGCTTGGGGTACGTCTCCCGACAAGAGGTATGGACCTTCAAAATGTGTGGTTAAATTATAAACAATATTCTACATGGTATATCACATAGTACAGGAATACACTTCAGTGCATACTGTCAAGCTAAGATAATACACTATTTGACAACTCTAAAGAAAACTGTTATAAACTTTCAATACATTTTTAGGCAAATATTAGTTTGACTACAAATTTGATATTGGTAATTAGTGCAAGTCCATCGACAGTAAGGACATCTGTTACCTGTCACGGATTTTTAAAATCCTGCCATATGACAGGACAACAGGAGGACTTACCATAGCTTTACAACAAAGATGAGATGGAGAGAGAGGAGGAGGACATACCATAGCTTTACACCAGAGACATCTCCAGTCTTGTAACCTGAGGACACTGCCACATGTTTTATCACAAACTACACATTTGGCACTCACTGGGAGGTTCCCTTCCAACCACTGGTGGGGCATCGAGATGGCCTGGAGGGAACAGGAAAGTTTTTTTTATAATAATTACCATAATGTTTATCCAGCCAATTCAAAAGTATATATATGTAGTAGTTGGTCACAAAGTGTCAGTGCATGGTATATGTCAAACTATTTGCTATATAAACTACACTGCAAAGTGTAAAAAGTAACAAATGTCAAGTTATACGTAAACAGTTCTCCACTAGTTGTGGCATATATTGTGATAGGAGTGAGTAATATTTTCAAAGAGAAGTGGAACATGCAAACTTTGTAACTTTGTACGAATTGAAAGCTTTGTGAACAAGATCCTACTTATTTAAACCTCTGCAACACTTAATGTCCTGTCCGCAGGAATTAGTAAACTGATATGAAATTTGCACAAGCTCTCAAATGTAGGGTAATGTACGAATCATAATGCGTTAGATGTGACACAACAAATGTGCCTGGTTGTGCCAGTGTCTTTTCCTATCAGAACATACCAAATCAGCACTTATATGATAGAGTATAGTGTTTTGGTGTCAGATGGGGCGGTGATGTGGCGTTGATCTCCTCACAAAATTATATGAAAACATTGCCACAGTATATGTTTATGTTTGGGTACATAGAAGGGACATCTACAAGAGGTGTACAGTTGAAATAGGAAGTGGTAGATGTGAAGCAATTACATTAACATATGTCACTGTATTATATATTCCACTGAAAATTAAATAAAGATAACCGTAATTTTTGAGACTCGGCACAGCCAGTTGTGCATTTTCGCTTTCTTCCTCCCCGATACTCACCCCATCCTCATCCTCGATGATATCTTTTCCCACCGCAGCCAGCGTGGTCCACTTACACGTACTGTTCGCACGCACGGCGCACCTTTTGTGGGCCTTAAACTTACAGACTGGAGTAAAAAAAAAACATTTTAATGTAAATTGTATCATCTCTGCAAATGATTATCACATATCCTTTAATGTAAATTTATACATAAATGATTACCTAATATTATCCACCTCCTGAACATAATCCCTCTAGTTACACATCTCTTAAATTAATATCACGTCAACTCAGCTCCAATTCAATTGCACCATTTTTTTCTTTCTTCTGGTGATAAATTCATTTTTATCTAATTTTTTCTACTTGTATTCACAAAAGTAAAATAAAAATCCCCCCTTATATAAAACTTCACCCTTTGGGTTGTCATCTTTGAATAATCATCACCATTTTATTAAATTATTTAAGTCACAGTAAGATGGTCTCATGAAAAATTCTTGAAAATGAACTAGCAGGAAAAGCAGGCCAATGGATCTTGTCCCTAGGCATATATCCTTTGAAATTGGGTTGGCCCTTGTGAAGATGATTGATCCCTGAAGGCTGGTGTCGGCGTATAATAAGGATACAATAAGCAGGAAATGTAATCTTTTTGTTCTCTTCAAAACGCCTTCTCAAACAACGGCATATCGTTTACTTAATCCATTGCTTGTAATGAGCTTAACTTGATCCGACAGCTAGCAGAGGTGGTTTATACAAGAGACAACTGACCTTACTTAGATGGACCCGAATTCAAAATATTGTCAACTCAGTTGAAGTTAGTCTAAAAAGTTTTCATTTCCTAGGTGGTAATATTGTTGAAAAAAAATTTTGATTAACGATTCATTACATCAGATTCTATAAAATCAGATACTGAAATACTGGCATAATTCAGGGCTTATAAATGGATTAGGCATTTGTTCAAAAGAGGACTGAGCCAATTCTGCTAGCTAAGTTTCAGTTGCTCTCATTTCTTGCAAGGTTTTATCACTGTCAAATAAGACTTTTTTTAAAATTCATTCATATTTCACTGCAGAAATGAGACTGTAGTTTAGTGAAAAAGTTGGAAAATATGGCATTGGATACAGGGGGGCGGCTAGACCTATGGTATTTTTGGCTCCCAAAAAATCAGAAATCCGCTGATAGATAGAAATATCTCAACCCTGCCTCCAAGGCTCATGACTTACCTTCACAAGAGAGTCCATGGGACGTGACACCAGACAAAGCTTCCCTGCACACGTTACAGTACGTTGGTCGTGCATGCGAACATGCGTACCAGTGATGCTGTCCTGACATCATTGCGCGATGCTCAATACCAGGCTGGAAGGTAAAAGAAAACGTGTCCTGATCCACCCATGCTCAACCAAATAACTTAAGGTGTCACACAGAAGTACTCAGAGTTCAGGTTAAGACCCTGTTCCCATACATAGATTGATCTAGCATGATCGACCCATCTCCGAGGGGTTTCTCGCTAAACTGAATTCAGATTAAGCGGCTTAGATGTCTGGCACACCTGCTAAATGATAGCGTATTACCCAATAACACCTTCAGTAGGCGTGCCAGACATCAGAGCTGCTTAAGCTGAATGTAATTTAGCAAGAAACCCCTCGAAGATGGGTCAATCCTGCTACTAGGTACAAGAATGGGGTCTAAGACCACCTATTTTAAGACCCAAGTCCTTTTTATGTTACCAACCACTCAAAACTTGGGGTCAACAAGGACTGAAAAATTGGTCTTTCCGTTAGCATCACTGATTGTTTTAAAAGATTAAAGTCCTTTTGTAAAACTGACAACCCTTATCGCTTTTTCTGAGTGTTATATAAATGTGCCTACAAACAATATCCCAGTATCTATAATCTTATCTCTTAAATTGTCAATTTATTAACTGGCCTTATCTGCACTATGCCACAGGGGTCATGTCAGGATTGCTGTTTGCTATCAAAAAACTTGTTGCACGATATCACCATACAATTCGATAACACAGAGACATTAAAATTTGACATCTTAGTTCAGTTATCAGGTGTGATGTCAGCTATTTCATTTTCAAATCTCCATAATTATTTGCATGTTATCTGAACATATCAGCAGTGTTTCGTACAAATTTCCCAACTAATCACAGCTATGGCCTCAGGGACTGCTATAGGCAGACGCATCTAATCATTATGTTGCACGGCCCTCTATGGAGTGTGCCACAAGATTCTGTTGGAGAAATAATCCTGGAAACAAAACTAAGCCAAAGAGCAGGTATGGCTGCACGTATCATATTGAGCTAGGGGAAGAGTCTGCATCAGACTGCCGAGCCTTAACACCTGTGACGTTGTATTTCATATCTAATCTAACAAGTTATGAACTACGGTTTTTATTCCATCTTTTCAATGGAAAAAATTATAAAGCTTTCAGATACATAATTTTATAATCACAAAAATTATATTTCTATACAGCATTTGTAGTGCTTTAACTGAATGTAAAAGAACGACAAAGTAGCCTGCCTTTTAAA